GTCTTTTTGAGACAGGGTCTCCCAGTAGCCCCAGCTGGCCTGGAACTCACTATGTAGACCAAGCTGGCCTTGAACTCCCAGAGATCTGCCTACCTCTGCCTCCCAAGTGCTGGGATTAAAGGTGTGTGCCACCACGCCCAGCTGAGACCCTGTCTTTAAAAATATATATATTTATTTTTATTTTATGTGTCTAAGTGTTTTACCTGCATGTGTTTAAGTGTACCACATGCATGCAATGACCACAGAGGCCAGAAGAAGATGTTGAATCCCCTGGAACTGGAGTTACAGTCATTAGCCACCATGTGGGAATTGGGAATTGAACCCATGTCCCTGCAAGATAACCATTGAGCCATTTCTCTGGCCTCAAAGAGAGCTTATTCTGAGCCAAATGTGAGTGATAAGACTAGGAACACAGATGCAAGTTGGCCCAAATGACACATGCCTCAATAGGAATGAGACATGAACTTTTATAGTCATAGAACAGCAACAACATCATAAGTCAAGGCATCTACCAAATACATTGGTGGGGATGATAAGAAGGGGGTGATTTTCAGATGCTGTCTGGTGACAGTCTTACCTTATAGGTTGTTGAAAATGAGTGGTCTCCTAAGAGCTTAGTTAATGAATACATTCCAATGTCCATCTGGTTTCAGAATCTGATGCTGTCTCTTTATGTGGGTCATTTCTGTGGAGCCCTGGGAAGAGTTCTCTTGGGCTCTGTGGATTAGGTGTCCTGATATCATCCTTGGGATGGTCTTAGTCTTCTGTGCTTTGGAGGAACTGGCTGGAGAGAGAAGTGACGTGCTGTGGTCTTTCTGTTCAGGTACTTTGTGCTGGACTTTGAGGCTGGCCTCCTGCAGTATTTTGTGAATGAACAGAGCAAGCACCAGAAGCCACGAGGAGTCCTGTCTTTATCTGGAGCCATTGTGTCCCTGAGTGATGAAGCGCCCCACATGCTGGTCGTGTACTCTGCCAACGGAGAGATGTATAAACTGAGAGGTAAGTTCTCATCCTGGGGGCCTTGTGGCTGCTTTACAGGTGGTGGCTCTCTTGTTTTTGTGATTGAAAAAAAAAATCACCTTTAGGGTCGATGAGATGGCTTACTCCGTAAAGGCTTCTGCTGCCAAGGCTGAGGACATGAGTTCAATTCCTGGGTTCCACATGGTGGAAGGATGAACTGACTCCAGCAACTTGTTCCCTGACTTCCCACATGTGTCTGTGATGCATACATGTGCATACACAGACATAGACACACACACACACACACACACACACCCATACACACTTGTTTTACATGAAGCTTCACTTTAATATCCTGCTGGGGACTGTGCTATAAATACAAAGCAAACCCTTTAAGGGCCTCTATTATATACCCTCTTCCCAAAGTTTGAGGGTTACAGTTCCAACATGACAGGAAGGCATGGTGGCAGGAGCATGACACTGTGTGTGACATGGTGTTCACAGTCAGGAAGCAGAGAGAGGTGAACGCTGGTGCTCAGCCTGCTTTCTCCTGTTTATTCAGTAGGCATTCCAGCCTGCAGGATGGTGTTGCACACTTAGGGTGGGTCTTTCATCCTCTGTGTAAATGCCTTACACATTCAGAAGTGTTTCCATGGTGATTCTAAATCCAGTTAAGATTAGCCAACACACACACACACACCCCACAGAGAAGGAGACAGAGAGAAGAGAGAAGAGAGAGAGAGAGAGAGGATTTGTTATTTAAGATCTGAGCAAATCTGGGCCATGTTAGGTACAATTCTTCCTTTTGCCTTCATTTTTCTAAAGAAAAAATTAGCCAGGCATGGTGGCTCACACTTTTAATCTCAGCACTTCGGAGTCAGAGGCAGGAGGATCTCTGTGAGCTCAAGGCCAGCCTGGTCTACATAGTGAATTCCAGGCCAGCTAGGGCTTTAGGAAGACCCTGTCTCAAAACAACAAAAATTAATTTCATAGAATGTATTTTGTTCCTATTTCTCCCCAATTTTGCTTTTTTATATAACAGTTTTCTTTGCCCAAGTAAGAGCAAAGAACCAGAGACAGGGCCTTGTCAGTGTCCTTGGACTGTGCCAGGGACTGCTGTGGACCCACACTGAGGCCTGACTGCTGTGGACGCACACTGAGGCCTGAATGCTGTGGACGCACACTGAGGCCTGAATGCTGTGGACGCACACTGAGGCCTGAATGCTGTGGACCCACACTGAGGCCTGAATGCTGTGGACCCACACTGAGGCCTGAATGCTGTGGACCCACACTGAGGCCTGACTGCTGTAGACCAACACTGAGTGAGGGTCTGGATTTCCGCCTCTCAGTTCAATTTTCACTTGTTCTACTGCCAAACATTATGACCCCAGAGATGGCATAAGTTACTCTCTCTGTATTATCTAGATACAAACTCTAGCTCAGAACCTATAAAACAACTCAAAGGCCTATGAAATAAAAGTGCCTGCAGTTGAAGAATTTTTTTCTGAACTGTGTGACTGTTTCTTGCTCTTTTTGGGGATTCACACCGAGTGCCTTCCAGATGGCGGGATTTATGTGGTCCTTGTTTTCACTTTGCCATTTGTTGCTTAATAAATTGTCAGCACAGAAACTATAGTAAGGAAAAATGTAATGGCATCCACCCCATCTGTGGTTTATAAAGTGGCACAAAGCCACACGAAAGAAACTTCAGTTTGTTCCATAGATGAGCCATCTCAATTTGTCCATGAGTTGTTAATAACATTCTGTGGATTATTAAAATCCAGTTTTTTTATTTTTAAAAATATTTTATTTTTATTTCTAATTATGTGTCTGTGTGGAGGTTTGTGCACATGAGTGCAGTGCTTGAAGAGGCCAGAAGAGGGTGTCAGATCCTTTAGAGCTGGAGTTACAGGTGGTTGTGAGCTGCCATGTGGGTGCTGGGAACTGCACTTGGGTTCTCTGCAAGAGCACAACTGGGCCATCTCCAGTGCCCCCAGGTTTTTATTAAGTAGCACTTTCAATAGCAAGTCCAAAAGCTTTACTGCCTCTATGAAATAGTCACAAGTGCTAAATTTAGCTGAAATTTTACCAACTTCAAAAATGGCAGCACAGATTTTGAGTGTTACAGCTTCTCCGTGGCCTGTCTCGCTTGGTGCTCATGGTCATTTCTCATTTCTCTGTACGTGATAAACTTGGTTTGGGATGATGAACAGCATGGCTTTGGGGAATATTTTTGATGCAGAAACTTTGAATGATGTTTTCTTTGCCTTTGGATGTTAATTTCCTCTGTCTTTACACCTTGCTTATCATATTTGTGCAACAGGCCTCCTGACAAGCAAATCATACGGGATTTCGAAAGGCCCAAATGGGACCATGCCCAAGATTGATTGATTGATTGATTGATTGATTCATTCATTCATTCATTCTCTCTCTTTTTCTTCTTTATTTCCTTTTTCTTGTCTCCCTCTTCCTCTCTCATTCTTTCCCTTTCCCCTATTCTTCCTTCTTTCCTCCCTCCCTCCCTCCCTTTTTTCTTTCTTTTGTTTTTGCGTTCATTTAAGACAAGAGTTTCACACTACAGCCCAGGCTGGCCTGGAACTTGCTCTGTAGCCCAGGCTAGCTTCATGCTTACAGCAGTACTCTTTCTCAGCCTCTTGGGTTGCTGGGATTATAGGCATGTGACATCACATGCCACCCATTCTCTAACTCTAGATTTCTTTACTTGGAAGTTCAAGCTGAAGTTGAATTTTGATAAAATGACATTCAGTTTCATTTTTGTAAACAAGTATAATTTCCATTGGATTTTTTGCATAATTAACATTTATAAGTTTATAATAGTATTTATGTAGTTAATTGCAGTTAAATTAATGGTTTATGTTTTATTGGAACTCATTTTATGACCATGATAATTAAGAATAATGTATATTATTTGATCTATGGGTATAAATGAAAGAATATGACAAATGATAAACAAGTACTTTAATCTTCTTCTCTCTTTGTCCTTCAAACCTTTATTTGTGCATTTGTATATGTGCATGAGGGTGTGTGTGTGTGTGTGTGTGTGTGTGTGTGTATACATGTGCATGTGGAGGCCATAGATCAAGATCAGATATCTTTCACAATTGCTTTCTAGCTTATTTTTCAAGATAGGGTCTCTCTCTGAGCCTGGAGTTCACTGATTCAACTAGACAGGCTGGCTAGCAAGCTCCAGGGATCTGCCTATCTCTACATCCCCAGGACTTGGGTTACAGGCATGTGCCACAGTACCTGGGCTTTTTATGTGGGTACTGAGGATTTGAACTCAGGTCCTCATGCTTGTGCAGTGCGTACTTCACCAACTGAGCCAACTCCCAGGCAACATCCCCTGCAAGACCCTTTAATTTTTAAAAAGTATTTATTATTTTATGCATATGTGTCTGAGTGTGTGTGTGTGTATGTGTGTGTGTGTGTGTGTGTGTGTGTGTGTGTGTGTGTATACCATGTGTGTGCAGATGCCTGGGGAGGCTGGAAAGGGATGTCAGATCCCCTGGAACTGGAGTTACATGGGGTTGTGAACTGCCCAATGTGGGTTCTGGGAACTGAACCTGGGTCCTCTGCAAGAGCAGCTCTGAACTGCTGAGCCTTCTCTTCAGCCCCAGTCATTACCTTTTTAAAAACAAAACCATGATCTCACTGTGCAATCCAGCCACAGTGGCATGGAACTTGCTATGAAATCCAGCCACAGTGGCATGGAACTTGCAAGTCCCTGTTGGCCTTGGACTTGAGAACCTTTGCTTCTGCCCCCTGAGTGCCAGGATTAGAGGTATGTGCCACCATGCCCAGCACTAATAACAATAATAATGATAATGATAATAATAATATCATCATCATTATCATCATTGCTACACCCCCAGCCCATGTATATGGGTGAAATCTGAGGCTTCCCAGGGCAGCATTTGGTATCCTCTTCTGTTCAGTCATCACAGGATTCCTTGAGAGCATGCTATGATGCTGATTCAAGTGAGTGCTTAGCTTAGTCTGTAAATGCTCCTGATTCTACCATGTAACTCGGATAGCAAGAGCTCTGTACCTTAATCCTCTTATTAGCCACACAAGCTAGAGGTACTTAAAAAGAATGCCATGTTCCTTGCCTGCTGCTGCCTGGTTAAATAAATCCAAGTGAATTTTTCTGACGATCTTGAAAAAAAAAAAGTCCTAATTGCTCCTGTAGCAGGCATTTCAGAGTACTTTAGTGTGCTCTAGGAGACTTTGCTGTTCTGTTCCAATGCCATTTGGTTCTTTTTGTAAGTTCAGGTTGCTTGAGAACACCGTGATCTGTATTTCCTCTTCCCTCTCTCCTTCCTCTCCCTCCTCAGGTCCCTATTCCCTTAGGTGGGCGCCAAAGTCGGTTGATAACACTCACGAACAATCTCTGCAAGCATTTCTTTCTCTGTGTTCTCTATTTTAGCTGCTGATGCAAAAGAGAAGCAGTTTTGGGTGACTCAGCTTCGAGCTTGTGCCAAATACCACATGGAAACAAGTCCTAAGGTAGGTAACCAGGGTGGGAGAGAGGCTTCCGAGTCACCTGGGAGCTGCTTGGAGCCCAGCCACCCATTTCTTTGGGCAAAGATGTTTTGCATCTTACTTTGTGTGTGTGTGTGTGTGTGTGTGTATACATGTTCATGCCTATGCACAGATGTGTGTGTGTGTGTGTGTGTGTGTGTGTGTGTGTGTATACATGTTCATGCCTTTGCACAGGTGTGTGCAGGTATACACACACATGTGCAAGTGTCTTCTTCATTGCTTTGCACCAGATTGTTTGAGGCAGGGTCTCTCACTCAGCCTGGATCTCATTAGTTCAGCTAGGCTGGCTGGCTACTGAGCTCAGTGGATCAGCCTGTCTCCACCCCTCTCAGTGCCAGTGGTTACAGACATGTACCTCTGTGCTGGAATTTTACTTGGGTGCTGGGGATCTGAACTCATGATTGCACAGCAAGTGCTTTACCCACTGAATGGTCTCCCCGGTCCTTCATCTAACTGTGAAAGTTATTCACTGTCACAGAATTCATCCTCATCCTGCTGCATCTTAATTCAAAGCTGTCTCAAAAGAAACAAACTTTTCCTGTGGGTAGAGTGCCGAGGTGTGCAGATGCCGGGGCCTGCAGACTCTCATTGCTCAGTCTTGTCAGTGCAGGCATCTGCTAACTGGCCTGTGGAGAAGCTTGAGTGGGTGACTTCACTGTGGAGGCAGCAGCCCCCACTGCACAGTTACACCAGTTATAGTTCAGGAAGACTTGATGGTGTCAGTAATTCTTAAAGAAAACCCAGACCTCACACTGATTATGTGCTTGCAAGAAGCTACCGGATGCTAAGTGAATAAAATGTTCTTGGGGATTTTGGCATCCAAGTCTGCCTTATTTAGCTTGTAGGATCTTGGGAGATCTTGTGTGAGATGTGAGGGAGACAGAAGGTGGACATTTTCATGGGTTATTGTGGGGCATGAATAGTCACTAAATTACAGGCATCACCACCAAATATATTTATCCAGAACAATAAATGTTGATTATAATGAACTCTCAAATGGCTTTTCCATTAGTTCAAACTTAGGGTATCCAAATGATTTTTTTTTTAAACATATTCCATGTAGTTGATAGAAAGACAGACACTTCAAACTACTTTTTAAAATTTATTTTTATTTTTATTTTTGTTGAAGTGCATGTGCTTATCAGGCAAGTGCTCTACCACTGAGCTCTGCCTCTAGACCCACACTTCAAACTTTAGTCCTGTCATTTACTATAAACTCTTTCATCCTAGCTAATAGTTCCATGAAATGCTTTAGTTAAATCTCTCCCTTTTTCCCTGTCTACCTCCTCCCCGTCCTCTCTTTCCTCTCTCCCCTCCCTGTTCTCCCTTTGACAAAGGGTCCTAATCTATAGACTGGCCTGGAAGTCACTGTGTAGCCCAGGCTGGCCTTTAACTCATGGCAAATCTCTGCAAATCTCTTGCCTCAGCCTCCCCAAGTGCGAGGTTTCCAGGTGGGAGCCACCATACCTGGATTTACGCCTTGCTGCTCTGCCTCCAAATACAGAGAAGATTAAGTCTAATTCTTATTTCTCCCACTGAATTTATTTTACTTCTGGAAAGACACTCCCTTTCTTCTGTTTGCTTTGGACAGTGACCCTCAGCGGTAATACCCTTCTTGGATGGCCCTGAACAGAAACTGCAGGCAGGACCCTTCTAAAGTCATTTCCCTTCTGACTTTGTTTTCTGGCCCCCACCAGAAATTACAGAGGGAGTTCTGGACATTGCATTGGTATTTTACATATGTCAGGCAGTTCGGTTTGGTTCATATATATATATATATGTATATATGTATTTAAGATAGGGTTTCACATAGTTCCAACTGATCTCAAACTTGCTCTGGATCCAAGAATGACCTTGAACTTCTCATCTTCCTGCATTCATTGCTATGCCTGATTTATGTGGTGCTGGAGAACAAACCCAGGGCCTTGTGCATGCTTGGTAGGCATTCTACCAACTGAGCTGCATCCCTAACCTTCCACCTTTTATTGTCACAAAATACATGAGCATAAAGTAAAAAGGCTTTGTCCTCACTTGCTGCCAGATATGTTTACTCTAGAGATAATTGTTCTCAATTCATTGTTGTGTGTCATTCTGTACTTTAAAGATTTTGTTTTGTTTTGAGGACAGGGTCTCCCTGTAGCCCCAGCTGGCCTGGAACTCACTATGTAGACCAGGCTGGCTTAGAACTCACAGAGATCTGCTTGCTTCTGCCTCCTGAGTGCTGGGATTAAAGGCATGGCCACCACACCTGGCCAACGTCTTTAAATAATCTTCTATAGAAGTTTTCTGTACAGGCACACCCTGTCTCAAAAAGACCCCCCCCCCCAAAAAAAAGGTTGTGGTAGGGGCTGGAGAGATGGCTCGGTGGCTCAGTGGATAAAAGCATGAGGACCTGTGTTCAGATCCCAGCACCCACGTAAAAAACAGGCTAAGCATGGCTTCGTATACACTGGTGACCACAACACTGTGGAGGATGGAGACAGGAAGATCTCTGGAATTTGCTGTCCACGAACCTCATTCTGACTTCAATGAGAGATCCTGTCTCAAGGGAGTAAGGCAGAGAGTGATAGAGCGGAACGTCTGATGTCGTCCCCTGGCCTCTGCCCATAGCTGGCCCACCCACACATACACATATACCACACTCACATGTATACATACAGTACAAAAAGGTGCTCTGATTTGCTCTGTCACTAATTTGGAGTACAGTAGTTTGAATGCCCCAGTCATTAACTTTAATAGTTACTTGTGTCCAGTTTTGGATGGCACAGGTCAACAATGGGTGCCCTGGAATTTTCCTGTTCCTTTCTACAGTCATCCCTACAGCTGAGTATGTCTTCAAACATCCATAGAATACATGTAAATTTTTCTTTAAATTTTTGGTCTTCCAAAGTCTTGCCCATGATAAGCCCTCACTACCACACTCCAACTCACTAATCTTTCTTATATGTGACCTGCTACTTTGTACTCCTCTCCTGTTTTTCTATTGATTTCTTTTTCCCTTTTTGATTTGCAGTTGCTCTTTGTTTATAAAGGATATTTATTTTTTTAACCTGTTAATTCTATTCTTTCTGCCTAGTAGGACATTTATATGATTTTTTAAAAAACTTTTGAGACAAGGTCTCACTATACAGTTGGCCTTGAATTTTTTCTTGCTCAGTGGAACATTTAATATTTTTATAGTTAAGTTTGTGAATATTTTCATTTTGGCTCTTAGATGCACATTATGTTTAGTAAAGGTTTCCCTTCCTTTTTTTTTTTTATTTATTTAATTTGTATGACTGCTTGCCTGCATGCATGTATGTGTACCACATGCATGCCTGGTGCCTGCAGAGGCCAGAAGAGGGCATCAGATACCCTGGAAATGGAGCTATAGGTAGTTTTGAGCCACTCTACCGCAAGAGCAGTGTGTGCTCTTAACCACTGAGCCAGATCTCCAGCCCCTAGTCAGGGCTTCTCTTATGTCAAAATGATGAAAACATGCTTCATTGCTTTCTTTGAGTGACTTTGTTGTTTATGACTGTAAGTTACCAGTTCATCTGGACTTTGTTCTGTGAGTGGAAAGTGCAGAAGGAGCCAGCCTTGAGTATCTTGGTATTTGGTTAATTGCTGGAGAGAAGAGAAGGACACGAAGACTGCCTGAAGGTAGACTGATTTCTTGGTATATGTTCTCTGGTTCGTTACAGGAATACTACTGGTTAATGTGTTCATAAGAGGACCCAAATAAAAAATTGGAAGTGTGAGCCTATAGGGTTTTTAATCTGGGAGCTAGTTGGTGTGATCATGCAGGGAATAAGTATTTTGACATTGTGAACAGATCTTGCTTCTCAAATGTGTTAAGTCTTTCTCTTTCTGTGATAGAAACACTGACCAAAGCAATTTATAGAAGGAAGAGTTTATTTGAGCTTATGGTTTCAGGAGAATTACAGTGCATCATGGTGGGGCGGCATGGTGGCAGAGGTGGCTGGAGCAGAAGAGAAAGCTAGGCTGTATATCTTCAAGCAGGCACAGGAAGCAAGAAAGCATCTTGAGATCTGGCAAGGCTTAAGAACTCTCTAAGCCTGCCCCCAGTGACATGTTTCCTCCAGCATGGTCACACCTTCTAAGACCTCCCAAAACAGTGCCACCAACTGGGGACAAAATGTCCAAATACTTGGAGCCTGTGGGGGACATTCTCATTCAAACCTCTACAACTACTCAGGTAGAAGTAAGCAAAAAAATTGAAGGTGGGCCTAAGGTGAATGGAAACTTGCTCTTTGTTAACTGTTTGCTTGAAGTGTGGTTATTAGGACTATATGCTGATCTGTTTTCTTTATTTTAATTAATTAGTTTAGAGACAGAGTCTCACTGTGTGTCCATGCTGGCCTGGAACTCAAAGAGATCCACCTCCCGAGTGCTGGGATTAAAGGTGTGCACCACTTCACCTGGCTTAATCCATCTCTTTCCTGAGCTTCTTCCTCATTCTCTCAGTGGATCTCTATAGTCCTCCAAGTGGACTATAAGGGAACAGAGTCTCCGCAGCTGCCTGGAGTCCTATCTTTTCAAGAATTTCAATTAATATCGAGTGTTTCCAGGGCTGAGGAGATGGCTCAGTTCATAAAGTGCTTGCTGTGAAAGCATGAGGACCTGAGTTCCCTCCCTAGAACCCATGTAGAAAAGCCAAGCTTGGTGGCATGCACCTGCAATTCCATGGGGAGGCTGAGACAGGTGGATCCCTGGGGTGAGTTCTAGGTAAAAGTGAGACACTGTCTCTAAAACAAGATGGAAGCCAGGTGTGGTGGCACACACCTTTAATCCCAGCACTCAAGAGGCAGAGGTGGTGGATTTCTGTGAGATAGAGGCCAGCCTGGTCTGCATAGCAAGTTACAGGTCAGCTGGGGCTATGGGAAGAATCTATCTCAAAAAAAAAAAAAAAAAAAAGCCAAGATGGAGTGTGACTGAGGAGGACACCCAAAGTTGATCTCTAG